TTAGAGTGGTTTGGGTTGGAAGGGACCTTAAAGATCATACAGTTCCAACCCCCATCCCGCTAGACCAGGGTGCGCGAATGGCGCAGGCAGCGGCGGCACCTCGTGGCAGCTGCGGCACCGCGCAGCTCCTGCCCCATGAGGTGCAGGCTCAGCCTTGTGGGGTGTCCATCGGGGATGGGGGGACTGTGCCAGCACCAGGTGGTGCAGATAGGACGGAGGATGCATGTTAGTGCAGCCCTGACAACCCACGGTGGGGATGGTTTTGCCTCCCACCCTGCTCTGGGCATGTGAGGATGATGCTGGGCAGTTGAATGGAGGGGAAGAGGGGCACAGAAGGAGGGGGAGATAAGGGGGTGAGTGGGCTGTGGGGGCAGTGGGGGAGGGTCAGATCTGGCACTGGGGAGGGCATGGGATAGTAGGAAGAGCCACCAAGGGCTACCACAAGGTGATGACTATAGCCTGGCTGGGCTGCCCCAGGGATGCTCCTGCACACTGGGATAAATCTTCCAGCGGCCCAGTGAGGTCTGAGGCTCAAACATCACATCTGATCCGAAGCTGTGGGGCTCAGTTTGCGATAGCATTTAGGAGCTTAACATCACTGGTTGCCAGGTACTTTCTCCTGGTAAGCTTGCTGAATGTGCATGCTGTGCCCCACCGCCACATTCATGCAAAGAAAATTCTAAAAAAAATAGGGTAGCTCTGCTTTTATGATGCTCTAAACTCAAACCTGCAATTTTACTGCTCATCTAGCTTTTGATACTGGTATCAAAAGCTCTTCTAAACCGTTGTGTCCATTTTGCCCCATGCCTTGTACCTCCCCAGGCACCCCCATGGAGCTGGATGAGCCCCCCAGAGGGCCCAACACCACCCGAGCTGTGGAATGCTTGGGGCTGGAGCAGCTCACTGGCAGGCCCCAGCACACACATGCTCCACAAGGGTCAGGCAGAAGCTAACTGAATGCATAACTTTATTAAATAAATGCTTTGTCATGAGAAAAGACAAAGATCAAAGAGTAACATAAATTATAAGTTGAATAAATAGTATACAGCAATCTTCACTTTTTAATAAAATGTGAGATTTTTTTTTTTTTAAGTACAAAATGCTAAACAGAGCATTAAGCTCTTCTTCCATTGTCAGTTTTTCACAAACTGCTTTTTTTTTTCCCACCAGTAAGATTATGAGTATTTCTTGTTTACTGGAAAAAAAACCAAAACAACAAAAACAAAACAAAAACGAAACAACAGAGCTACCGTATGTATGTAAAGCTATAAAAAGCTACCGTAAAATGTGTAGTGAGTATTGCTTAAAGATAAAAACCAGGCAGGAAACTCGGAATCTGGTGTGTTTTTAACAAGTGTGTTACAATGGTGGGTAATGTAAGCGGTGACATCTGTCCCAGTGGCAGTGGCAGGGGGCTGGTGGGGCTGGGGAGGGGGGCACAGTAGGCAGGGCTCCTAGCCAGGGCCAGGACAGGGGTCTGGAAGCGAGGTGAACTGTTGGTTGTTAAATATACAATGCTCCATTTGGGGGGGAAAAAAAATCGACAACAACAAAAAACCCAAACCAACAGCAAAAAAGTTTTCATGGGGAAGGCGGAGAAAAAGGGAAGGGGGGAGAGAGCGGAGAAATAGTGCAAAATGCTCTTGTACTAGTGGTTTTCGAAGTCCACTGCAGTACAGACAAGGGGTAGCCCAGCTGCTGAGCGCTGCTTCGTGGGCAGACGTGGTGAAAGGGCTGTCCTGACCCCTGCGCCATCCTTGTCCTCTCCTTCCCAGCCTGCATCCTAGATACTGGCATGGGCTTGGCTCAGATACTGTAGCTGGAGACCCCTGAGCCTCACACTTCCCCCTGATGCATGAATTGCCATCATCTCCCCATGTGCCTCAACTCCCCACACTCCCCAGCCCCCAGATCTACCCCTTTTGGTTTTCTCACCCTAAATGCCAAAGGGTGCTGCTGGGTGCTGAGAATAGGAGCACCTCGTCACTGCCAACCCAGGGGGTGATCAACCCCTTCTGAAGTCACTTGTATCCCCAGCCTGACCCAAACTCCAACCCCAGTCCTAAATATTAGTGCAGCCTACAAACAGCCTCGTCCTGCTGGGGATCCTTGAGGGAGTGGGCAGCCAGGGGAGTCGCTTGGTGCTCCATCCCAGGAGCCAAGGTGATTTGGGGAGGCAGGAGTGGTGCAGCCCAGACTTCCATCCTCCTCCCTCCAGGCTGGTGTGGACAGGACAGGCAGTGCTGTCCCAGCATGGGATGTGCAGGGGTGAAGGAGGCTGCGTGGGATAGATTTTGGTGCTGTGGGCTTGTGGGGCCATGTAGACTTGCTCTTGTAGGGAGAGGTCGGGGAATCATCCTGTGTCCCCCTCCCAGTGTCATTGTAGTGGCCTTGTCATGACACCACCCTGAGGCCCTGTGAGCTGACCCTCACCCTGCAAAAGCATCTTCCCCAAAAGACAAGGTCCATAGGAAGCTGCATCCCTCTGCCTGTTCCCATCCCACCCTGGTGGCACGTCTCCTTTCTCTGCAGCCAAAGGCTTTCAAGTTTTGGGAAATTAAACAACAAAACAAACAAACAAAAAAGCAAGAAAGAGGAAGAGAGAAGGAAAGAAGGGTCTTGCGAAGGTGGTACTGGCCTGTAACAGTCAGGAAGTTTTGCACGGGGATCAGCAAGCAAACAGGGGTCCTTGTGGTTGGCACAAGTTCCTCCTCCTCCTCCTGTCTTCACCCCACTTTCACCCCACCATCCTGGTTAAATCAACCTTACTCCACCAGCCCTGCAGAGCCCAGAAAGGTCCCTCCCTGCCTCGGCCACAACACCCGCCATTCTCCCCTCCAGCAACACAGCGGTTATCCTGCTCCAGCAGGCTTTTCTGGGGGGCAGATCTGCATTTGGTGACACACTTTGTTCTTTTAAGCAAGGGAAAGTCCTTTGTCCCCAGGTCCAAACATGCTCCGTTGGGTCTCTGTGGAAGTCCATCGGCAAAATTCTCCCCCACTGTAACTTTGAGGGAAATAACCACAGGTGTCCAGTTCTGCCCTTGATTGGGGCAAGTGTCCTGGTGGGGGGCCCCGGGGCTGCTTAGGGGAATGATGACATGTCATGGGAGGCTATAAGGGCTCCCAACCTGTGGTGGTAAGAAGCCTTCACCAGAACCCCTTGGCACTGAATCCCCCTTGTCCATCCCCACTGGTGGGAACCTGGTGGTGCTGTGGACCTCCTTTTTTCTCTGCCCAGGTTCAGGAACCTCAAAGGGTCTTTGGGGGTGCAGGAACCTTCCCCCTGAGATCAGTTGTGTCCTTTGGCCAGCTCCAGCTGTGGCAGTGGGATGTGGTTCCTGGTGGGTGTGTGTTTGCCCACTGGGACCACAGCACCCAGACCCCACCTTTCCTTCCTTCCTTCCCTTCGCTGCAGGATCTCCTCCCAGCACCAGCATCGTGGAGACCCTTGTCATGGAGAAGCAAGAGGCAACAGTTCCAAAACTGAACGTAAAAGTTAAAAACACCAAATAAGTCAAGAAGGCAGATGAGGGCTGTCCCACCATGCCTGAGGCAGTGGGTCTCCGTGGTGTGGTGGCTGCTGTCACTCAACAAGGAGCTGGGTCCCAGATTAAAGGCAAGGGCCCATCATAGGATCTTACTGCAGGGTGGTGGGAATCAACCATGGCAACATGAGCAGTATCCTCAAAGTGGAAGGATGTAGACTGGCATTTTCCTACCCACAGGGAAAGGTATAAACCAGCCTTAACAAAAAACCATGATCAAATAAAATGGAGGTTTGGTTGGTTTTTTTTCCCCTGGAGCAAACCACATTTTTGGCTGTGGGAAAAAAAAAAAAGTCTCCATAGTCATCTTTGTGGTGGCAAAGCGTGGTGAAGAGTTTTAGCCCAGATCTCCCTGTCCCCATGTAGGGATACTTCAGTCTGGACAGCGACAGAGTAACAGCAGGGTCGTCTGGGATGCAGCCCTCAGTGTTGATGGGGCCCTGATCCCACAGGCACTGATGGTCCTCCGTAACTCTGCTCCTGTGCTTAGTCCAGCAGGTTATTATTAGTTTTTGGGAGGGGCAGCATTTCTTCCCCTGATTACATATTACATTGAAACCTCCAGATTGCAGGTTTCAAGGTGAAGTTTCGCAAGGAGGAAAAGCCATGTCAATGCACACACACACTCATACACATGCACGCAGGTGACAAACGCTTCCACACCTAGATGGACAACGGTCATAGTCCTGCTTGTCCAAAATGATTTCTGACCTTCCATTCGAGAAGAACAGAATATATTTCCTTTTTGGATGATTTTTTTTGAAGTCCACAAATACTTTTTGGGGGTATTTGTGCCGTTGCAGGACCTGTGTTTCCCTCCCCAGCTCATCTCCAGACACGAAGCCAGCAATCTCACGCCTCCTCCTGATGTGTTGAAATCTGCCTGGATTGGGGGGCAGTCATTTGAGATGGAAATCAAATTGACTTGAGTGAGTCCCAACAGTGTGGGGAGGACACTCCGGAGGACTGCAAGGGGAGTGCTGGTGGCCGCAAGGTTTTCTCTCAAGACCCTTTAGAAATCAACTAGCTAAGATGAAAAAAAAAAAAAATTAAAAATGAACCTGCCCAAAACCCGTACTGGAAATTCACCAACTCGGAGAGCTTCCTACATCAGGGTGACCTCTGCTTGTGGCAGAGGGGCACAGGCGGCATTAGGGAGAGGTGAGGAACGGCAGAGAGGCTGCGGCTGGTTTGTCTCTGGCTCTATCCTTTCCTTATTGAGTCCTTGTCAAGAGGCTGCAATAGATTCCGAGTCCTCAGTTTCTTCAGGGTTTTCTTTTCTTTTCTTTTCTTTTCTTTTCTTTTCTTTTCTTTTCTT